CACATCAAATAAGTTTCAGTCTATAAATCTATAAAGATACTGTAATAAAACCAATTGATTACCACTGAAGAGTAACAGTGAATTATTTTTAAAACTGTTAAATAAAAAATCAAGGTTGGGTTTTGTTTTTTGGGTTTTTTTTTTTTATTTTTTGGCCTTTCCTACATGAAATGTACAAAGGAGTAACCAATACTAGATGAAGGAAAGTTTCTCTTTACAGAAATACTCCAACGAATAAATGAGGAATGAATGATTTAATTAGTGTGTCACCACTGGAGTTAATGGAGGTAGGTATTGTTCAACAATAGCTGCTAAAACTGTAAAAGAGAAGCATCTAGACTTGAAATGCTTCCTGATAGAGCATAACATTACTTGTGATTTAATTCTGCTAAAAAAAAAAAAAAAAAAAAAGTTGAGCTTGTATTTAATCAAACCTCCAGGACAATTACTAATGGATGGGAAATTTAGACACAGGTTACAAACAGTGAAATTGACCTACATTAAAAAAGAAAGGGAGAGAAGACAATAGATTGGAAAAGTATTCAGGGACATATCTACCAATCACCAAGTGTAGACTTTATTTATATCCCGATTTAAGGAAATAAACAATAAGACAAAATTGCGATAGAGATGCCACACTGCAAATCCAACTACTGACCAGAATATGTGATGGCTAAATATTTTGAGTTTGGGGAATATGAGGAGATCTTTGTAGGGAACAGTTACATGTGTAAGTCCAAAGTTTTGAGACACATCTGGACTAGGGATATAAGTGTGGGAATAGGAATCATCTATAGAGTCTCACTTCGCATATGGAAGCTAATGAGATATTAAGCTATGTATAGAGTTCCTCATCCTCTCTTCCTCCACACTTTTGAGACCTGGGACCAGAAAATTCATTGTGGATGGCTGTGCTGTGCATTGCAGAAAGCTTAATTGTGTCCATGGGCTCTACCCAACTAGAGGCCAGTAGAATTCCCCCACTCGGTTGTTACAACCAGAGTGTTTCCAGCGTTAGTTAGAATCGCTAATGTAGAGTGAAAAGAGAAGAGGGAGAAGAAACAGTATCAAAGGATAAAAAAACCCCATGATTAAGTTATAACCCTACCACTAGGAACTATGGCCACTCATCAGGCCTTACTTTGTTCATCTATAAAACGGAAATGACATTGTCTAATTCACTAAGTAGGTGTGCAGCAATTATTTACTGTGGAAGACACTGCATTAATGAAAATATATTCCATGTGCCTTTCTTCCTAAGTGCCCATTGCTATTGGCTTCCTTTTCTTTCCTTTCTCCCTGACAGCTCTTGGTCCAATTTGGTTCCACAAAACTCCAGAACACCACTTCTCTTTCTCTTATGGCCAAAAAACCTGGAGTCTGACTTTGTAGCTGCTGTGCTGAAGCAATACTGCATCTGTGAAGCTGCCAATGACCCCCAGAAATTGAATGTGAATGTCCACCTTCACCCCTCCTGAATTGTCCGCACGAAGGTACTTTTCAATAAGAGAAAGAAGAAAATAACCTCAAACAACAAAGATGAGAGGCTGTTCTTTCTGGGGTCTAAAAATCAAAGCCCACACAGGCCCTTCCCAGAAAGCTCTTTTAATTTACAAGTGAGCACAGATTCACTGAAGTTCCTTAGATCAAAAACTAAAGATAAATGTATGATTGGGGTGAATGAAAAAGATTTGGCCAGGGGAGAGCCATTGTGTCATAAATGAGGCTCCACTTCTTACTTAGGCTTTGAGAAAAGTGTCCTGAAGTTTATGCTTTATGTCTGTTTACCTAACATGATTTCCTTTCAGCCGTTAGTAACTCTTTATTAACAACTTCATTGGGATACAATTTATATATGGTATAACTCAATCATCTAAACTGTGCAATGAAATGGCTTTCAGCCTATGCACAGATATGTACAACCACCATCATAGCAATTTTAAAACATTTTTAATACCACAAAGAGAAATTCCACACCACTTAGCTATCACCTCCCTAACTCTTGTTCCTTTAATCTTAAGTGACTATTTTCTATTTTTTATTTCACTAATCTATTTTCTGTTCTTATATATTTACCTATCCTGGATATTTCCTATAAATGGAATCATGTAACATGTTGTCTTTTGTTGCTGGCTTCTTTCACTTATGAGATTATGAAAAGCACAATGTTTTCCAGGTTCATCTATGTTGCAGCTTGTATAAGAATTTCATTCATTCCTTTTTAAGGTGAAATAATATTCCACTGGATGAATATAACATATTTTGTGTGTCCATTCATCAGTTGGTGAACATTTGGGTTTTCTCCACATTTTGGCTATTGTGAATCATGCTGCTGTATACATTCATGTACACGTTTTTTTGGGGTACCTGCTTTTAATCCTTTGTGGTATGTACCGAAGAGTGGAATTGCTGAGTCATAAGAGGAACAGCCAAACTGATCTTCACAGTAGCATAGTCACAAAGTCTTAAGAAAATACTTTCAGAAAGTAGGATAATACTTCCCAGCACTCTGAAACAGGACATCCCTGCCCAGTTGGGTTGAGTATCTAAGTCAAGTCTCCAAAGAGAAGAAATGGTAGGCATGTAATTCAGTCATGCAATCATTTTGAACTATTCTGCACTTAGGACATCTCATTATCTGTTTTCTTTATTAAGTGTTTGTAAACTGACCTAGTAAGCAAAATACTGCTTAAAGCCTTCTTTCTGTGGAGAAGTATATTCTGAGTCAAAATTAGACTTCTAGAAAAATGCATTTATGTGGTTTTACGTAGTACCTGAGGCCACTCGACCAGGAAGTCTCACCTTCCCTATCTCACCCAGCAGCTTCAAGGGACTCTAGAAATCTGGAATTGTAAGACTGAGTAGGTTCATTTTCTTCACAATCTAACAGGATCCGTGGAAGTTCATAGACATACATCTAATTCTGGAGGGATTTCCACTTCTCTTTCCTCTCCTTTGGGTGTGGGATCACAGACCCTGCATATATCAGAGATACTCATCAGGCAAGTGTTCAATAATCAGAGAATATCCTGATTCCAGATGAATCCCTTAACTTGAGATTATTCTAGTAGGGAAATTAATGAACTATAAAAGGGAAAGTAATGTCTTCAACTAAAGCAACAAGAGCTAACTGGCCATGAGAGATCACAAGGGGTGATCTAAGAACTCAAGGTCAAGGATTCAGAGTAAAGTGAAATCATGGATAAAATAATGGCTTGAGTTTGTAATAATAAAAAAAATGGTTGTGAGGTGAAATGCAAAGTAGGTCAGGGTATATGGATTAAGACAAGAGGCTGTAAATACTAGGGTGCCTGTGGAAGGCAGATGTTTCCCCAAATCCCTGCCCCCTGATTTATATGCTTTGTGTAATTCCTCCCCCTGTACAGAGAGAATCTGTGATTATGATGAGAAACCAATCTCATGATTAGGTTACATTATATGACAAAAGAGAAGGGATTTTACAGACATAATTAAGGTTGTCTTTGAGTTAATTACCAGGGAAATGATCTTGGGTGGGCCTGACCTAATCAAGTGAACCCTTAAGGCTGGCCTTAAGGTAGTAAGGTGCCATGTTGTGGAAAGGCCTATCAAAGGAGTCCTCTGGCCTATAGAGAACATCCTCTAGGAGCTGAGAGTAATTCCTGGCCAACAGCTTGCAAGAAAATGGCGACCTCAGTTGTGCAGCTACAGGAAAATGAATTCTGTCATCAATTAGGGGAAGCCTGGAAGTCAGTTTCCCTAGCTGAGTTTCCAGATAAGGGTGTAGCCAGCCAAGACCTTCATTCCACCCATGTGAAAGAGCAGGGAACCCAACTAAAACATACTGGATTCCTGACCCATGGGAACTGGAATACAGCAAACTAATGTTGTAAGATGCTATGTGTTGTTGCAACTTATTATGCAGCAAGAGAAAACTAATACACTGCCAAAGACCATAGCATATGGGGGGTTTGCGCACTTTGTTCCCTACGAGAATCTAGTGGCTTTGAAACACTGGGCAGCACCTGACACATATTCTTGCTATTCTATTTGCCTTCGGTATAGTTATCCTTGACTTATGTTTCATGTATAAATAGCTCTTTGTCTACCTATCTTATATGCACGCCTTCTATAATTAAATGTAATAAATGTCTTTTACTCCCATCTTGATGATGATGTGATGATCTGTAAGAAGGATTTGCACGTTAATTCATTTTGTCCTCTGAGGTAGAGTTCTAAACCCCAAAGCCTTGCAAATGCTTTTCTGCTTTGAATCCCAAATTGCACTTATAAGCACAAAAAGAAATAGAAGAAATTAGAGAGTAGCTACAGCGAGATTTAGAGTTCCTAGGGGAGTGGTAAACCTAACAGAAAATCCGTAGTTTGTCTGCATAATCACACAGACTATTTAGATGTGGGTGTTATTGTTTAGTTAGCCCAGAATTATATAGAGGCCTTAAGTAATTTTATTTTGGTGATTTCAGAGTACAGAGTGGTACGTATCTGTATCATCCGATTGTAGCCTGAAGAGAAATACACTGCAAGATAGACTCGGAACTCTCTATTTCAACGGCAGTGCCAGTACCACAGCTCCCGCATTTCATACAAAGACAGATGGACAACAAATGTCTTTCTGTTATTGGTTCACAGCTCAGACTGAATGGGATTTATCAGGATTTTACATCTAATCCTTCTTCTTAAGAGACTCTGGCTGTTAGCTTTGGCAGGCAAGAGAAGGGAACCAGATGCCCGAATGCTGGAGGGCAGAGTTCCTAAGTTAAAAAAGTTTTTTTTAATGACTTTCATTTTCTTCTGCTTGCCTGTGCCCATCTAAGCATGAGCACCTCCAATCAATATTACTAGATTTGAATTATGAATCAGTATAAATAGCCAATCCCTCCCCCTCCAAATAAAACCAAAATGTGCCAACTAAATCTTTAGTAAGAGGCCTATCTGTGTGTGTTACCCTAGAGAATAAGGCCAGTATTAAGATTTCTAAATAACATTGATAAAAAAATGTATTCATGAAGTAGAACATTTTTATTTTAAAATTTCCATAAAATGTCTTCTCCCCTGGCATGGAACATCCTGCTTATGGACGTACTTGCAAAGCCTCCAGCTGTTTCTCTTCATTTTCTCCCCCATCAATCCCAACTATCATCTGAAAAAAGCACAATAGGATTTTCCCAAATAATCACCAACACATGATGAAATTACTTCCCCAGATCTAAAAACTCCAGCAAAGAATTTGTAGGGGATTACTATCTCATTTTCTAATAGTGCCCTATTCAGATGTAGCTACCACCACCCTACAGTTACAGCAATAATTTTTCATTGCCACACCTCAGGGGGTATCCACTTATCTTAACAACTGTCATGAAAGTCTAAGGGAAAAATTAATTTAAATCTGCTCTCATAAAAAAGTGACTAAAATGTATTCTTTTATCCTTAGGAGCTGGAAGGGGAGGAGTCCTAAAATCAGAAATACAAAATAAAATATTGTAATTGCAAAGGGTCCAGCTGTTCCAGAGGAGGGCAGTGACTCCCAAACGTGGCTGTTCATAAAAATTGCTTGGAAAGAGGTTTAAAATTCATGTTCCCCGGTCCCACACCATACCATGTGAAGCAGAATTTCTGAGGTGGGATTGAGGATCTTCATTCCTAAATCAATCCTCAGGTATTTCCAGTGCAGGGAGCCTATAAACCAGAGTTCAGGAACTACAAAAATTAGGAGATATATTAATACATGTGATTGATTTGACAGAGTATTAACTATAATGTAACCTTGATAATAAGCTATTCCAACTACTTAAAATTAAAAAGACAGACTTTTGATCTGAATCCTCTCATTTAACTTCTCATGCTCCCAAATTAATTCCCAAAGGAATTTGAAAATCAGAAAAGCAAACCAAACTATTGTGGGAAAAGTCAAGGCATTTCTGCAAAATATACTGCAAACAAGACTACACCGGGAGATGTCCCACTCACTGAGCAGCCTCGGAACACTCAGCAGCCTCCCCGTTGTGTCCCCACTGGCTTCCCTGCCCTCAGTTCCCACCCCAGTCCCACGTTCGGACCGCCTTCACCTGCCACTGCCTTCCGCAGGCCCGTTCCTCTGAGGACACAAAATCGTGGACTCCTGATCTCCAGAAACAACAACACCCTTTCTACCCCTTTGCTGATGCAAGTAAGCGTGATGATCTGCTTCCTCTTGGCACTGAGGATTATATGCATATAAAAATTCAACAAAGAAACAGCAGGAAGACCCTTACTACCTTTCAAGGGATCAAGGGATCACTGATGACTACAATAAAAAGAAACTAGTGAAAGCATTGAAGAAGAAATTTACCAGCAATGGTACTGTAATTGATCATCCGGAATATGGAGAAGTAATTCTGCTACGAGGTGATCAGAACAAGGACAAATGCCAGTTCCTCCTAGAGACCGGACTGGCTAAGGATGGCCAGCTGAAGGTTCATGGGTTTAAGTGCTTTTGGCTCACTGAAGCTTAAGTAAGGATTTCCCTGCAACGAGTAGAATTTCTCTCTGTCCATTGTCAAGTTTAAGAACCTCACAGTTTGTATAATGTAACCATTTGGGGTCCGCTTGAAAGTTGGACTGGTGTAACTCCTTGATGCAATAAACTGAAAAGAGAAAACAATACCACAACTGGATTGGGAGAATTGCTGGCCAACTCACAATTCACAAATCAACCCTAAGCACAGAGTGGCACCACCCAGAGTAAAAATGGCCATTAGGACAATGATAGGTTTGGGGAGGGTGTTGCAAATCAAGAGCTAACAAGGGTGAGATTACACTGCATAATTCGCTCCTGTCTTACCCTTGAACTATAGAGCAGGCCAAGTAGAATAGGGGCAGTGCCACAGCTGGCCTCTAAAGAGACAGGCTGTGCCAGTTAGAGAACAGGGACATTATCCTCTCAAACAAAGAGGGAATAGACTTTCTTTGGCATAGGGGCAAACTCCCTGATGTGCTGCCCCGGCTTTAATTCATACCCTGCCCTTCAGACGTAATTGCCCTATAATTAGATTATATAAAACTGCTAACCCTACCTTCATGTTTTTTTGCCTTTCCTTCTCCCTCTTTCCTTCCACTTTTCCCTTTCCCTTTCTCTCTCTTTCCCTTCTTCCCTTATTCCTTTTGCTCTTGTTTCCCCCTTTCTTTTCGATTTATACCAAAACAGGTGCTGAAAGAAATCACATAAATCTCCAAATAAGGACAAGCTTATAATCTCTCCCATCTTTCTTTTCCAATCGCTCCCTCATTTCCTATCCCATCCATGCATGCTTACTCCTAAGGATAAGCAAAGATAAATTATAATATAAAGATTAAGTAGTTTAATTGAAGACAATCAAGCTGTTTAGACAGGAAAAAAATACACCCTTTAAAAATGGCTTTATTGGCATGCCTTGATGGCTCAGTCAGGTAAGTGTCCAACTTCAGTTCAGGTTATGATCTGATGGATGGTTCCTGGGTTCGAGACCCACATCCAGCACTGTGCTAACAGCTTGGAGCCTGGAACCTGCTTTGGATTCTCTCTCTCTCTCTCTCTCTCTCTCACTCTCTCAAATATAAATAAACATTTAAAAAGATTAGTTTAAAAATGGCTTTAATAGTGAAAGGAAAAACTATAGAAAATCTCTAATGTATATTTTCTAAAAGATTCAAGAAGACATTTTATCTACTTAGTAAAAACTTTAAATTATTTTTTAAAAAGATATAATCTGGGAGCAGGAAAAATTGCTTTGAGATGAAAAATATGACCATTAAATTTTTTCTTTCTCTTTTTTGACATTTTTATTTATTTTTGAGAGACAGAGTGCAGAGTGAGGGGCAGAGTGAGAGGGAGACACAGAATCCGAAGCAGGCTCCAGGCTCTGAGCAGCCAGCAGAGAGCCCAAGGCAGGGCTTGAACCCACTAACTGTGAGATCATGACCTGAGCCAAAGTTGGACACTTAACCAACTGAGCCATCCAGGTGTCCCAGCCATTAAACTTTCTAATGCAATGGAATTCATGAATACAAGATGAGATTCTGTAGAATATGAATCAATGGATTAGTAAAATAAGCTCAAGAAATTCTTCCAGAACTTCTAGGAAAAGTAGAAAATTTTGCCAGAAAAGTTTAAAACTTTACAAGATAGGTCCAGGAAAGCTAAAATAAATTCTATAAGAAGTCTAAAAGGAAAGAATTTAACAAACGGAACAGCGAAAGTAAAAAAGGGAGACAAAGAATGGGTGGCAATGGTCAAAAGGTACAAACCTCCAGTCATAAAATAAATAAGTCAGTCATGAGAAAGAAATGTGCAGCATGATGACTATAGTTAATAATACTATATTGTTTATCTAAAGGTTGCTAAGATTAGATCTTACAAGTTCTCATCACAAGAAAAAAAATTGTGGGGCATCTGGGTGACTCAGTCAGTTAAGTGACCAATGCTTGATTTCATCTCAGGTCGTGATCTCACAGTTCAGGAGTTCGAGCCCTACACTGCACTCTGTACTGACAGTGTGGAGCCTACTTGGGATTCTCTTTCTCCCTCTCTCTATCCTCCTCCTCTTACTCTCTTTCTCCCTCAAAAAAAGAAAAGAAAAGAAGAGAAAAGAAAAGAAAAGAAAAGAAAAGAAAAGAAAAGAAAAGAAAAGAAAAAATTTGTCACTGTGTATGCTGATGGATGTTAAAAAGAACTAGTGTAGTGATCATTTTGAGATATATGCACATATCAAATCAGTATGCTATACACTTGAAACTAATACAACATTATTTGTCAAAAAATGTAGATAAGATATGATAGGTCTATATGTACATCAAATCTAGGTGATCATGGTAAAACAACAAAATTTTTGCAATACAACAGTAAAGAACATCTTTGTGATTTTAGAATAACTAAGGTTTTTGAACAAGAAACAAAAGCATGTTATCAAAGGAAAAATAGGTGATGCATTGAATGATATTAAGATTATAGAACTATGATCATCAAAAACATACCATTGGGAGAATGAAAAAAAAACCCCAACAAAAGATATTCTTTATATATGCATATAACAAAGATCTCATATCCAGATAAAATGACTTTTAAAACTCAATGATACTTAACAGTCACTTCTCAAAAGAAGATACCTAATATGGCTAATAAACTACAAAAAATATTAACTTTGTTAATCATCAGAAAAATGCAGGGATACCTGGGTGACTCAGTTGGTTGAGTGGTTGGCTTAGGCCCAGGTCATGATCTTGTGGTTGATGAGTTCAAGCCCCGCGTCAGGCTCTGTGCTGACAGCTCAGAGCCTGGAGCCTGCTTTGGATTCTGTTTTTCTCTCCCTGCCCCTCCTCTGCTCCTATTCTGTTTCTCTGTCTCAAAAATAAGTAAATATTAAAAAATTTTTAAAGAAAAATTCAAGATAAAGCCACGATGTGAGACCATCGCATACTCACCAGAATGGCTAAAATTAAAAGAGACAATCAATACCAAATTTTGACAAGAATGTAGAGTAAGCAAATATCCCAACCATTACTGGTGGGAGTGAAACTGTTACAATCCATTTGGAAAACTGATTGGTAGTATCTACTAATGCTGAATACATATATTCTAGGTATATTTCCAATGAAAAAGCATCTATATGTTCATCAAAAGGCATAAGAGTACTATTTAAGAAACTCTATAATTAGAAAGATCCCCCCCAAAATGACCCAAATGTCCATAAACAGTAGACTAGATAAGTACATTGTGATGTATTCACAGAATGGAGTGCTGTACAGTGATGAGAATGAACAAATTATAACTGCACATAATAATATGCTGAAGCTCACAAATAATTGTTGAGCCAAATAAGTCACATAAAGAAACTATAAACTGTACATTTGCATTTATATAAAGTACAGAAAAGGAAATACTAATCTATGCTGTTAAAAGTTAAGATATGAGTTACTCATGAGAGGGCTGTCACTCAAATGGGGGTTCTGGGAACTGGGTGTATTCTGTGTCTTGATCTACGTGCAGGTCACCCCAGTTTATTTAGTTGTGTCTGTTTATATGAGTATACTCAGTTGGTAAGACTTCACTGAGCTTTACAGCCACAGCATGTGCACTTGTCTCTATGTACATTAATTGCCCTTCAATAAAATATTTTTAAAATCTTACAGAATCAGGTCAAAAGTGTACTCGGGAAAATGCAGAGCATTTCATGCTTAACAAAAGCATAAAAATAACAGGAAGCTATAAAAATAACAAGGGGTGCCAGTGTGACTCAGTCAGTTAAGCATCCAACCCTTGATTTCGGCTCAGGGCATGATCCCAGGTTCTTTAGATCAAGCCCCACATTGGGTTCTGTACTGACAGCATGGAGCCTGCTTGGGATTCTCTCTCTCTCTCCCTCACCATTCATGCCACTCTCTCTCTAAAAATAAATATTTAAAAAATAAAATAAGAGTAACAGCAAAATGAAACTAAGAAGTAGGAGAAGAAAAGAGGAATGACTAAAGATTAAAAGCCATAATTAAATTAATTATAAAATATTAAAAAGAAAAATTGATAAATAAATCCAAGCCCCAGATTTTTGAAATAACCAAAACAATAAAGTTTTAGAAATGCTAAATGAGAAAAAAAAATGAAGAAAGGAAAATGAGGCAAAACCTAAATTTGAAACACACCAAGGGAAATGGGGGATATTATTACAGATCAGGTTTTTTACATTTGGGCTAGGTAATTCCTTGTTATAGAAGAAGTCAGCTTCTGCATTGTAGGATGTTTAACAGCATCCCTGAAGTCTACCACCTAGATGCCAATATCATGCCCACCCCCAGCTATGACATTCAAAAATCTCCCTATATTACCAAATGTCCCCTGAGAAGCAGATCACCCCCAGTTGAGAAGCATTGCTATAAATTGCATTGTTAAAGAACATACAACTCTATGTTAAAAACATTGAACATCTGAATGAAGAAACTACTTTCTAGGAAAATATGCAGTATAAAAAATTGATTGAAAATGTCATAGAAAAGCTCAATAAACAAATAACAAAGACACTGAAATTTTTATTAAAATCTCATTATCAAAAAAATGCAAATTCTGCACTTTATATACTGTTATATTAATTTGTCTGTCTATTCATTCCCTGGTAGTTATTGGAACAGACAATTCCTTTCAAACTTCTAAGAACAATACCATTCATCTCCTATTTAGAATGTTATAAAGAGGAGCCATACAATAGAAATATAATGAAAGGCACATACAGGATGCTCCTTTCTTCCAGGTATAGGTAGGGAACTTCTCAAATGAAGTTTATAACCTGTTTCAGAGGAGAAGGGCAAGATTGCGGGGGTCACAGTGACCTTCCTGCCTCTGCCACTTTCTCAAACCTGTTAAGCTTAAAATATTCAATATGCCAAGGTGCCGTATTTTGGGGCAGTGTGTCCTGAACTCCATCAAATCCATTCTATTCAAACTTCTAAGTAGCCTATCCATCTAAATTTTGAGTTTAAGGA